AGGGAAAAGTCGGCAAGAAAAGCCCAGTTTAGGCCGCCTCTGCATTTCCCTTTCCACTTGAATGACTAAAGAGCGGGTGCGAACCATGAAGGATACCCTAAGGAATTGTCAATCAGGATGGGAAGCAACCGGCATGCTGTGTCCGTGTCACATGAAATTCCCGGGGGACTCGGCGGCAGTTTAAAACTAAAGGAGTTCGACGTAGAGGGCTAAAATCGTCGTCGCTCCATCAAAGCCAGTCACGCGTTAAAGACGACACCTTGGATATTACAAGGACAAGGACATCTAGCGGTAGATAAAACGAGACACGAAAAACGAGACACAACGGGCAAGTGAGAGACCGGCAGGGCAGCGCTACCATAATCTAACGACGGTCTCGATACCTTTGAAGGCTTTAGTAGAAGGAAAACGACGAGCAATGGTGGTAACATTATCCCGGTCTCCTTGAAACAAACGGCGACAACTGTACAGATAGCTGCTACAGCCGCACTCTGAAAATGACATAACCCGGTCTTAGCGGACCTCATATTCTGACGAAAAAATAACATACCTGAGTTTTGTAGTACAAAAGAATGCCAGCCAGTACTGCTATGGCCACAAGAACGTCAGCTCGTCCAACAACGCCAGCCACCGCTTCACAGTGAATCGGATGAACTGCGAAGAGAAGAGCGGCGAAAACAGCTGGTTCTGGAAAAAATGGTTTTCAATGAGGAACTTTTTGCCTTCGGCTAGATCCAGCTCCGCTTGCGACAAATCACTCATAGCTCTCCAAGCCGAAAGTAACTAGTTTACTGTGTGTGGCTAGAAGGCTAAACCATCAGCACAGCAAATGAGTTTATAGGCTGTCTAAGTACTCGAAGCACAAAACCGCTTGTGTAATTAATGTAATAGCAAAGAAGCTACTATTAGGGCTCGTCGTCACGGTGTGGGGATCTCCCAGCCGAAGACAGATCTCGTCTGTCCCGCTGCGAACGGGGGGGGGGGGTGGGTGGGCAGTGTAGCAAGCAGCTTGTGAGAACCACACGGAGTCGTAACCTTGGTCGCTAGAGAGAGGAGTCGTATTAGGCCGCTATATTGGCCTGTTGGGAGGGGAGGGGGGGGAGTCGCATGTGCCTCTGAGAGAAATTTTTCACGCGGGGAAAAATTTTTCCCGATTTTTGAATTTTCGCATAAATGTTGAGAAGGGATAGGTCGTATCAAGACTCTCTTCGAATGGGGGGGGGGGGTCGTAACGAGACCCTCCTTCTAGGGAGGGGGTCGTACTGACACCGCCATTTCACACATCACGATGCTGTACCCTGGGGGAGGGGAAGGAGGGGGGAGCGATCGCTAGTCCTTCTTCGCTTTTTCGTATCAAGTGCTAGTGCTTATCAAATGTATTTCCGCTTGACGCGTAGATTTTTTTAGAAAAACAGTGAGTGGCTTATAAAAAAGAAGGGAGGAGGAACGGAAGAGAACCCCGGAAAGTGGTAGGGAATTGGAAGGATTCGAGGAGATGGTAAGGAGGATGGAGAGCGTGGAAGGGGGGCTGTACGCCAAGCAGAATTCTGAGGGGTACATATTTTGTAGAAAACTTCTCCAACGGCAGGACGTGTCATGGTCAGCCTGGGCGCCGTTTCAAGATTAGCTCAATTCTCGCGTCATGGTGTTCGACCATGTGCAGAAACCAAGTAAGCCTGTAACACGACAAGGTCGGAAGAAAATGCAGTTGTAGTTCGCCAACGCTAACTGGGTCAAAGAAAAAGAATGGAACGCTGAGCACTGATCACTCTTCCAGTATGCGTCACGCATTTTGATCCATAACATTTTCTGGCTATAGAGCCTACTTTCCTGGAGGCGGAAGCCTTGGGTGTCAGTATGCGCCACGCATCTTGATCCCAGCTGTTAGCATTTGCTGGCTAGAGAGCCTCCCTTCCTGGAGGCGGAAGTGGTGTAATCCTGCCGTGCTCCGTGCTTACCACGTACACGGGGGTTGGGATCCCGGATCGGTCACTTTCAAAGCCAACCAAGCCTCTTACCCTCCGGGAGCGGCAAATTGGAACCAGTCTTTAGGCCAATCGCAGTCAGTAAGCCACTACGATTGTGGGAAGTGGAATGTCCCAAAAAGGATTGATCAACGTTGAAGACTTTATCCTTTTATTCTTCAGGGCCAAATTTTAGTTGCCAGGATATCGCGCGAGATTGAGAGGATATGATGGAAGTTGATGTAATATCAGCGCTTGTTGCGATTATAACGACGTTAGGGACATTATCTCACGCTTAGCCTTGTTGCTGTGAGGAACTTCCCGGTCAAGCACTATTCGGCTTTTGGGAACATTGAATTCCACTTCGCTGGTATCAATGATATATTCAAATATCTGTTTGTTTATTGGTTAATTTACTTGTTTATTTATTCATCGCGTTCATCCCCGTTGAAGACGTTCATCCCCGTTAAATTCTGGCCTCGCACAGGGAGAAACCCAAACCAGCCTCCCCTGATTTCAGCTATCCTATTTATTTATTTATTTATATAATGCCAATTAATCTCTGTTCTAGCGCTCGTGTTACGATTCGTGTAAACAGCTGCGGTCCCCATACTCACCAGTATCCATAACTAATAACGCCTCTGCATATACTAATGATTGACTCAGCATGAAGTCATCAGGGTAGAGCACTTACGTCGGCGCGACAGTCGTAAACAAGCACTCGGCTTTATTTAATGTGGCTCGTTACGTACTAGTTAGATTGACAAAGAAATGGGATCTCACTAGGCTACTATAGGACTCCTCTGTTGACTTTGAGTGACTTCGATGAGGAAAGGCTACACAAAAATAGAAATTAATGGGATTTGATGGCAGAATCCTTTGAAAGGACAAGATGGTCCTTTCCGCGATAGCAGAGGGTGTACCACAGTTAGGTTTCAAAAGATCGCAGGGAACGCACTGTAAACTCCAAATTTAGGCCCACAAGCTCCCAGTAGAAACATGTTGGTCCACACCGCACGTGTCATCACAATAGTCGCTCTCTCGCAATTTTTTTTCTCTCAATCCTTTTCAATATATCTTCGCCCGTGTTTGCACTGTGTTGCAGTTGACCTTGGTCACTATAGGTTGCGTTCATACTCCGCGACTGCAATCTTTCATCGCGCGTCTACGACTGTACGCGCTCCACCGCTAGTCGTTGAACCGCTGCAATTGCATATTCAGACACAGTCAAGATAGCCCTTCTTTCGGACAGTGCAACGGTCCAACGATCTGGAACGATTATGTTTCTATCAATTAATGTTTCTGAAGTTCTGAGCACATGCTACTAACGAAGAATGAAAAAAAAACTGAGGTGGCCCACCTGAGCTTAACGAAATCAGCTGGAATCGCTGAATGAAGTACAGCAAAAGGCAGGAAGCCACTGCATGGAGAAAAACGTTGGTGGCATGAAAACTAAAAAAATTCTCGAAAATGTGGACTAGCTGACGCTATAGAGTAATGTAGCACTTGATTTGTTACAGAAAATTGGTATATAGGTGGAAAATGAATGATGGAGGATGGGAATATTCAGGCGTCAAAATAGACTCTATAACATAAAAAAAAGAGAACAGAATCTAGAAAAAATGGGATAGTTCAACAGCCACCGAATTGTGACTTCAGTACTAACACCAGGCAACCGTAATCACAAATAGCGTCAAATAAATTGTAAATCCATCCGTGTATACGTCAGGTAGCTCTCAAAGAGCTAACTTGCATTTCACTTCCTCCCCTCTGAAATGAAGTGGGGTGCATAGCGCATCCCAAAAGAAAGGATCAAGTGTTTTATCCCTCATGTTTTACCTTTTCCCTGAGTAATTCCCTTCTACGTAGTTATTCCATTGCTCGTCGACTCTGACCACTATAGAAAGGCATCTTCAGATCCAATGCAATAGCAACGTCCTTTTGGCAAATCCCATACGACATTGCAGAATTTTTACGACCCCGCCAACAACATATTGCGTGCACATAACGAGTCCTTAACTAGGCCCGGGAGACGTGTACGACGACATCGCTAAACGTTCGCTTCCATGACAAATGAGCACAACTGAGGATCTATGGTTATTGCCAAATAAAAACGATGGGCGGCACGAGTTTGAGGCATCAAAAACTCTGTGGAACCTTTTTCCGAATATCAAGGAAAATTCATTCTCAAGAAAGGACAGAAAATTTGAGACGGTAGAGGCATGATCAAAGGGCATAAACTCAAACCTTTGGTGCTTATCTGTCTTCTCTTGGGACACGCCATGCATTCTATATAAATTCAGAATTGTGGTAGTTTCTTGAATGCAACATGGTCTGCACAGAGATATTCTGGGTAAGCCCGTGAACAAACTAGTGTTATTATAGCCAAGACGAACCTGAGAGATATCAGTCTCCGAGTTTCGGAGGAAGACAGAACTTCGGTCTCCGAGTTCCGAAAAAGAGAGCCCTCACTTCAAGGGCTCCTTACCCCCTCACTTCAAGAGCTCGTTGCTCTTGAAGTGAGGGGGTAAGGATTTGGCAGGCAACCGCTCACGTGGTAAGCGGCCCCACTTGCCACTAGTACTCCTCGAGGGTCTTCCCCAACTCATCTTCCTATGGCAGGAAAACTGCCAGATCGATTTACGTGTAGAGGAAATCTTTGTATCCACTGAAGAAAGAACTCTCTCTTTAAGATGAAATTTGCGGTAAAGTGAGTGAAAGTGAGATCCAAAGAGTTCATGTCTGAGGAGAATCATTTTAGAGCAGGGCACATCATTAGTTGGGAATTTCGACTGAGTCCGTACGACCCGTCCCCTTTTGCTTAGGCGGTCGTTACACCCCCCCCCCTCTCCTTGGTTCCCTCCTCATCGAGCTGTCCAGTGGGGAGGGGGGAGGGTATATAATACACACGAAACGAAAACCACGACCGAAATGTAAGCATTTCAGCGGGGCAGACGGGAAATACGACCGCCTCTCAACAAGAACAAACACACCTCCCCAACGTCCCTGAAGCAAGAAAAATCAACTATTAACAAATTATTTCTCTGCCCAAATACGACCCTCCTCTCCCAGCGACCAAATACGACCCCCCCCTGTTGGAAAATCCCCAACAGCGATGTGCCCTGTTTTAGAGTGAGGTACGCCTATAATGGATAAATTGCTTTTCAGGTGGATTCCCTTATAAGGCATCCGTCCGTATCGAGTTCCAAGAGCAGACGAGCCGAAGGACTTTCCCAGCACATCCTCCCATGGCAGAAAAACAACCTGATAGTTCTTAAGTTCACCTCCCATAAAGAATCCTGGCGCGCTTGGCCAGTTGAATTTATGAAAAATGTGTGCCAACTTTTAGATAGTTGGAGGGTCAGGTAGCGCAATAATTACGTCAACACCTCCTCCATTAGCTATTAGAATCCCCTATTGTTGCTCCAAGTGCTACAAACAACTAAAGTGCATATTCCATTTGCGAGAAATGGTACGTGACTGATATAAATACCGAAAAAACAGCTCCTTACTCATTATTCATCCGATTCGGAGCCTTTGACCTATTCTTTCACTTTTTACCCCTCTTATGATCCCCTGACACCTATAATTCATATCCTAATTCCACTATCCACGCCTTGCTATTGTGGAATATTCCTTCGAGGATGAAAAACTTCTAAATGCATTGGCACGCTATCACAAGGTCTGGGGGGGAACTCGGAGCCAGCCACCTTGAATCAAGCTCCGATCCATAGTTTCGGAAAGCTTATAGGCGCTTTCCGTGATGACCGCATGGGAGGGAGTTTTATAAGTCTGGCCTTTCTTCGTTGTTAAGCTTCTACATACTTCTGAAACGGAAAAGAGTACGAGCACATCAACGAGAGAACTCTCTGGGCCAGTTCTCACTCGCTCTATTCAAGTAGAAGTACATACAACCTTGAGTACCATTTTCCAACACTTCCGAGATAGTCTAACGAGGAGTTACATTTTATCCCTACGACCAAGATCTTGTAATCTTCTGCATTAGTACGGCCTCAAGGGTGGTATAAACTGGGTTCTCAAAGCTGTCCAGAACCATAATCAACCATAATGGATAGCGAAAAATGAATGGGAATTGATAAAATTCCTCATTGTTT